TAGGAAATAAGCCATCAAGAATGTATGAGATGAAAACCACAGGTTACAGGGTCAGAATACACAGATTCAAATATTGGACCAGCATCTTGTGACATATTAGGCAATGACATAACTAAAGACGCAAGTCCTTTTCTATTATAATAGAATTTTAAAAATATCTACTTTGTAGGAAAGAAATCGGGATAACTATCAGATAATACATGTAACCATTTTTAGTAAACTATTCATATTTTCACAGATGTTAAAGAGATCTTTTTTATGTTTGTTTGGTTTAAACTTCCTTTTTATTTAAAAGGGAAGCTGGGAGCTGCAGAGATGGCTCAGCGGTTAAAAACACTGACTGTTCTTGCAGAAGACCAAAGTTTGAATCCCAGCACTCACATGGCAGCTAACAACTCTCTGTAACTCCAGTCTCAGGGGATCTGACAGCCTCTTCTGTCCTCTGTGGGCATTGCATGACACAGATGCACTTACCTACATGCAGGCAATACACTCATAAAATAAAAATAATAAATAAATAAAGTTTTTAAAAGCTGAAGCTGGGTGTGGTGGCACACGCCTTTAATCCCAGCGCTCGGGAGGCAGCGGTAGGCAGATCTCTGTGAGTTCGAGGCCAGTTTGGTCTATATGCGGAGTTCTAGGCCTGCTGGGGCTACCAGGAGACTCTATCTCAAAAAGACAAAAAAAAAGGAGAGGCTCGAGAGATGTCTCAATGGTTACAAGTATTTGTTGCTCCTGCAGAGTGCCTGGGTTTGATTCCCAGCACCCATATGGTGGCTTATAACCATGTGTAAACTCCAATTTCAGGGTATATGATATCCCTTTAGGGCCTTCTCAGGGACCAGGCACATATGTGGTACACATACATACATGTAGGTAAACACATAAAATATTTATAAGTTAGTAATTTTAAAAAAGTGGAGCTGAGCATGCATTCTGGTGGCTTTTTAAAAAATATATTTATTATTTTTATTTTATGTGTATGAGTGTATTGCCTGCATGTATGTGAGTGCACCTGTGTCGTGCAATGCCCGTGGAGGTCAGAAGAGGGTTTCGGATTCCCCTGGAACTGGAGTTAAGGATGGTTCGTAGTCACCATGTGGGTGCTGGGAATCGAACCTGGGTCCTCTATAACAGCAGTCAGTGCTCTTAACTGCTGAGTCATCTCTCTAGCCCCTCTGGTGGCTTTTAAACCCACTATCTGCCAACGTTTTTATACATTCCAGTTTTACTTTCTATTTTACCCCTGCTTCCTTAACAGCCTTAAACTTAAGTCAAATAACTACCCCCACAATGCAAACTTTATAAATTAACCAGAAAAGTAAACTTGGGTCTACAGACGATTATTATTGTCACCAGTAAGAGCAGATTTTAAGGTGTGGATATTGGAAGTTCTGATTGTACTTTCCCTCAGGTGTGGGTCAGCTTTTACTTATTACCAAAGTGACCTTCCATGGTGACCTGATGGGAGGGGACAATGCTATTGTTGTACTGTTAGAACCATCTGCTTTTCTTTGATACTATAAGGAACACAAAAAATGGCTTTCTAATTGACATTAACTCCAAGCTGTTAGGTGCCAAATGGAGTTAGCTCACCTGTCAATTATGTCTTGAAGTAACAACTACAACGAACACTGAAAGAAGGTAGTTTTTAAAACCCAATCAGCAGAGAGAAGGGCTTTCCACTAGCAGGAAAGGGCAGGTAACCTCATTCCTTAAGTTAAATTGACCAGATTGTTATGCCTGCTAATCAATACTAAACACAGAGTTCCCTGGCAGGAAATCATTTCATCTGTCATTTACTGAAGGAGGTTCTTCCTGGCTAGGTTCCAAGTCAGCAGGAACTCACAAATCTCTCTCACAGAAGTGTGTTTCCTGGTTCAGGATGGTGAATAGGTCCTGTGGCTATAGGTCCTGTGAGTAAGCAGAAGCTGGACACACTTTTAGAGACCAGAGACCTATCAAAGGAAAGCTGTGATACTCTATACTTAGCTCTTTATTTTCCAAATATACCAATACCAATAATATGATGAGACTCCAATATAAGGCCAGGTGTTGTGGCACATGCCTTTAATCCTCCCAGTCAAGAGGCAGAGGCAGATGGATTGCCAGTTCAAGGCCAGTCTGGTCTACACAGTGAGTTCCAGGCCAGCCATGGCTATATGGTGAGACCCTATCTCAAAAAAAAAAAGGGTGACAGATGTTCAAAAAAAGGATACACCAGGTTACATAGCAAATTTTGCAGAAGTCAGAGCTTAGAGAGTTTTGGAAACTGGTTGGATTTAAATAAATACAAAGGCATAGAAGAATGTATCAAGCCAGGAGAGTAGCACTAATTAGTATATGAAAGAGGAACTCTAAGTTTGGAGACAATGGGTAAATCTGTAGGAGCAAAAATGTGTGTCAGGAAAGAAGACATGACAGTGTGCTCTTGCTATAAACCTGAAAGGCAAAAATCAGCTCATGACAAGGCATGAGCAGACAATTAGAGGAATTATGTATCTTAAACAGTAGTTTTTAGAGTGGGGCAGGTGGCACATGCTGTACATTCAGCACTTAGGAGGCTGAGGCATGAGGACCACTACAGCTCTTAAGTCAGCCTTGACAACAGAAAGGCACAACCCTAAATCCCCAAATCAGTCAACTGCTTGTCTTCCCGATATTTTTAAAAATATAAATTACATTTATTTATTTGTGTGTGTGCATGTGCACTCATGGAGGTCAGAGAACTTGTGGTGGTTGATTCTCTCCTTTCACCATGTGGGTCCTGGGGACCAAACTCAGGTACTCAGACTTGGTGGCAAGCCGCCTGACCTGCTGAACCATTTCATCAGCCCACTGTCTCTTCCTGACATTTTGATAATTTAGTCCTAAACCGTTTTTTTTAAATCCCTTATTAAATACAATTCCCTAGAAAAAAAAGAGCTATGGTTTAAATGTATAATACCTTAATACCTAATGGTTAAATCAGCTTTGATGTTCCAGGAAATATTAGCATATATTTTTCCCCAAAAAGGATTCAATAATCAAATACATTTGAGAAAAAGCATAGTATATGCTTCCTCTTCTAATTTGTAATATATATTAGCATTCAAAAAGCACTGAGAAATACAGTATTAAACTTTTAAAAAAGTCTTTTAGGGTGTGTGTGCTGAGCAGATGGCTCAGTGGGTAAGAGTGCTTGCTTTGCAACATGTAGATTTGAGTTCAAATTCCCGGCGCCTGTGTAAGAAGCTAGGAATGGCTGCATGTGCCTGTAACCCCAGCATTGCAGGAAGGAGAGAGGTGGACCCTGATTTGAGAGCTCACTGGCCAGCCAGCCTCAAAGAAACAGGGAACTTCCATTCCAGTACAGCAAGAGTTCTCAGGGAAATAATGCAGTTAAAGAGGAAAATATTCAACAGCTTGCTCTGACCTCCACATGCATGCTCACGGGCCCACACACTCACATGCATATACCACACTCCTACACATGCACGCACACACGCACACAGTTTCAGAACTTGGGAGATAAGTCAGTGGATAAAGTGTTTGCCTTCCAAGAGTGAATACCTGAGCTTGAATCCCCAGAACCCTCATAAAGCCAGGCACGGCAGCACACGTCTGTAATCCCAGTGTTCCTATGGAGAAGAGATAGAAAAATCCCAGGAAGCTCATGGGCTAGCCAGCCTGGAGTACACAGGGGTGAACAGGAGACCCCATCGGTGGAAGGTGAATACCAAACACCAGAGGTTGTCCTCTGAGCTCCATACATGCATCATGGCACATACACACACTCAACACACAAATGTGCATACCCCCTCCATGTGCCCACATCATACACAAGTATTTCAAACCTTTTTACTACAGCTGGTTTTCCCCCACAAAATACATATTAATGTGTTTTAAAAAACAAGCTCAGAATACAACTTGAAAAACACAAGATCAGCTGGGCATGGTGGTACATGCCTTTAATGCCAGCACTTGTGGGGCAAAGGCAGGTGGATCTCTGTGAGTTCAAGGCCAGCCTGGTCTACACAGTGAGTTCCAGGACAGCTGGGGCTACAGGGAGACCCTGTCTCAAAAAGACAAAAAAAAAAAAAGAAAAACACGAGATCAAAGGCAAATCAATGATTAATGTTAGGGCAATAAGGCACAGAAAAGATTATTGGGGTGAGGTAGATTTTAAAAAGATCAAAGGATCACTCTTGAGGCAGAGGCAAGTGGATCTCTGTGAGATCGAGGCCAGCCTGGTCTACAGGTGAGTTCCGAGCCAGTTGGGGCTACAGGGAGAGACCCTGCCCCAAAAAACCAAAAGGAAGAAAAAAAAAGAAAGGAGGTAAGAAAACACATCTTTTTCTTTTTTTGAGACAGGGTCTCCCTGTAGCCCCAGCTGTCCTGGAACTCACTCTGTAGACCAGGCTGGCCTTGAACTCACAGAGACCCGCCTGCCTCTGCCTCCCGAGTGCTGGGACTACAGGCGTGTGCCACCATGCCCGGCTAAAAACACATCTTTTCTGCTTTGCTTTTTTTCCGTTTGGTTGTTTGGTTTTGGTTTTAAAAATAAGATCTCATTTTCATCCCAAGCTGGTCTTAGAACTGCCTCAGCCTCGAAAGTGCTGATTGTTAGAGAGAGCCAACATACCCCAGCTGTCTACTTTAGTTTTGTTCTAACAGTAGATCATTTGTCATACTGTATGCTGTTGATTTAGCAACAGTATAACAAATACTAACAGTATAACAGGCCCTAAAGTAAGAGTTATGAGCTATTCTTTAATTATTTGTCCTTTTCCAAAAAATGTTAACCTTAGGCCCATTTCTAGAGCACTGAAAGTTCTCTGTTCCAATCATTCCCTCATGACCAAAACAAATGGACTGTAGCAGAAAACTGAACATACCACAGGGTTTTAAGTTTCTTCCCACTATGAAGTTAGAAGGGAATTAAAGAAACTAGTGAATGGATGACCATATTTGTAATGATCATTTTGTGCTAATGATAAATCAAATATAATCTAACTTACCAGCTTTGCAATTCGGCAAAAGCTTGTTTCATTTTCTTAATGGAAGCATCCATCTCTTCTCTAACTACAACTCGGTATCGTGCAAGAGATACAGTGCAGCGCTGCAGATCTTTTACAGATTTTTCAATGTTAGAACCTTGGAGAAAAAACAACAAACCAAAGATTATTTTTTAAAAAAGAACACTATGTGCCAAGCATGGTGGTGCAAACCTTTAGTCCCAGCACTTGGGAGGCAGAGGCAGGTGGATCTCTGTGAGATGGAGGCCAGCCTGCTCTACATAGCAAGCTCCAGGTCAGCTGGGGCTACAGGGAAACCCTGTCTCAAGAAAGAAAAACAAAGGGGCTGGAGAGATGGTTCAGTGGTTAAGAGCATTGGCTGCTCTTGCAGAGGGTTCAAATCCCAGCACCCACATGGTGGCTAACAACCACTGTCCATAACTCTAGTTCCAGGAGATCCAACACCCTCTTCTGACCTCCTCAGGCACTGCACAACACAGGTGCACTTACACACATGCAGGTGTAACACTCATACACATAAAAAAAATATATATATATATTAAAAAAAAACAAGTATTCTAGTCAAGATAAAGTAATGACAATTGGATTTATCCTTCCATCTTGAATAATTAGCAAACAAATACAGACAAAATATATGAAATATGGTTTAAAACAATAGACAGTAGGCAGCATTTCCCCCCTGGAAAAGCAGAACCAAATGAAGTGGCCTATGACTGCCCCAACTTACTGACTTGACAGTTTCTAGATTGCAATAAAGGGAGAAGAAATCCTAAATTCAGCCCAACAGTCCCCTGAACCGAAGAAACATTTTGAACTGAGAATTTCAGGAGGCTAAGGTGGTTAGAATTCTCAGGATGGAACATAGAGAAATCTACACAAAGACAAAATAGCTACATACAGATCCCTAGAAGACTGAGCATTAATCAGTGTATGGGTATGAGGAAATTACCAACTTAGCAAAGGACCAGACAGGCAATGGTTAGGCTTCACCCAGGCCAGAAACAGTTTGTGTTTACACCAGCAGGAGTAGAAAAACCTCACCACGCATACGGGCCACTGAGAAGGTTACTGCCCCAACAATAAAGAAAAGTAACCTCTAGTTTCAAGGTTGCTCACATCTAGTCCAACAAAGGTCAAAAGCAAGCTTCAAATGGTTTCCACATAATTAAGTCCCAGCTTAAGTAATCAAGTAATCCACAAAAAAAATTCACAATATCTGGCTTCAAATAAAAAAGAATCATCAGGCATATTTTAAAAGAGAAAATATATTTAAAAAGAGAAACAAAGCAGAAAAATATGATTGATGAAGAGAAAAATCAATGAACAGAGATACAGCAGTGACACACAATAAAATTAAGTACAAAAGGACATTAAATGTTGGGCATGGTGGTGCATGACTTTAATCCCAGTTCCCAGTACTTGGGAGGCAGAGGCAGGCAGATCTCTGTGAGTTCCAGGCCAGCCTGGTCTACATAGTGAGCTCTATGAGACCCTAAGTCTCAAAAAGAGAAAAAAAAAAAAAGAGAAAGAGGCCATTAAAAGTTGGGGATAAGATCATCCCCAGTACCACAAAAAGTGTGGTAGAGGGTGATATCAAACAACTATTTAACAAGACAATCACAGGGGGCTGGAGAGATGATTCAGTGGTTAAGAGCACTGGTTGCTCTTGCAGAGGACTGAGGTTTGGTTCCTAGCACCCACATGACAGCTAACAACTGACTGTAATTCCAGTTTCAGGGGATCTGATGCCCTCTTCTGATCTCCTGGGCATTGCATACACATGGTGTACTTACATACATGCAGGCAGTACACTCATACACATAAAAATAAGGGGCTAGAGAGATGGCTCAGCAGTTTAGAGCACTGGCTGCTCTTGCAGAGGACCCTGGTTTGATTCCCAGCACCCACATGGTGGCTAACAATTGTCCTTAACTCCAGTTCCAGGGGAATTCAGCATCTTCTTGTGACCTCCGCAAGCACTGTACATGGGTGCACTTACACGCATGCAAGCAATATACTCATACACAATTAAAAATTAAAAATAATAAGTTTTTAAAAATAAAAAATAAAATTTAAAAAAATTTTAGTGTATTTGTATCATGCAATGGCTGGTGGAGGTAAGAAGAGGGTGCTGGATTCCCCTGGATCTGGAGTTACAGATGGTTTTGAGCCACCACGTGGGTGCTGGGAATCGAATCCAGATCCACTGTGAGAGCAGCTAGTGCTCTTAACTGCTGAGCCATTTTTCCAGCCCCCAGAATAAATTTTTAAAAAGACAACTACAGATATGATACATTTTAAGAAGAGACATGAAGATACTTTAAAATACATCAAGTGAACTTTCAGACATGAAAGTAACAGCAGACTAAATTGTTTAAAAAATTAATGAATTTGAAGGTAGCAACTTTAGAAGCTAAGATGAAATTAAAAAACAAAAACAAAAACAGTGAAACTTCCTTAACAACATAGTGTGATGCACACAGAAGGCCACAACTGTCCAAGTTTTAAATAAGAGACTGCAGAGTGTGTGTCCCTGGATAGGACTCCTATATTAAACCTCTCCCACCCATGGCTCAGGGACCACTGCAGAAGAGGGGGCAGAAAGACTGTAGGAGCCAGGGCTGCTCATGAACATAGGGAAGCAGAGGCTTTCAGGTCACTGGAAGCTTGCACATGTGAACTTGTGGCAATGGTAGCACTGAGCATGGGGCCCATGCCAACTCAATTAGACAAGGCCCCAGAGTGGAGCTAGGGAAATGGGTGGTGGACCAGCCCTAGTTTGGGAACTACTGGAGACTGATTACTATTGGATGAGGGAGAACTCTAGATGGACTGACTAGACTTCAAAGGATGAATTTGCATCAAAGGACATTTGGGTATAAATACTTGACTTGATAGGACTTAACACGTGTGGTGGAATACATGAGGTTGGGGTAGGGAGTAGGGGGGGACATGCATGGGGGACGGGGTCTAAATTTGATTAAGAACTGTTGTATAAAATGTACAAAAGCTCAATGAAAAATTTAAAAAATGAAAGAAAACTATTTGATTCAGTATCAGATTTTTAAAACTCTCTAAATGACAGGCTCTAGTAGAATAATTCGCCATGTGGACTTTTATGAAATTAAAAAGTTCTTATTTTAAAGTGCAATTTGAAGCAATACATGTGGAGAAGTCACCATCATAGAAAAAGATGAAGTATATTTATCAACCCAATATATTTTAAGTAGTTTCTTTTTTTTTTTGGTGTTTTTGAGACAGGGTCTCCCTATAGCCCAAACTAGTCCTGGAACTCACTATGTAGACCAGGCTAGCCTTGACCTCCCAGAGATCCGCCTGCCTCTGCCTCCCCAAGTGCTGGGATTAAAGGCGTGTGCCACCACACCCGGCTACATTTTAAATTCTTAAATTAATTCATCAACTTTTTGGTAGAATCTTGGTGTCCTGCCCAGGCTAACTACAAACTCCTCACCCCAAGTGATCCTCCTGCCTCAGCCTCCTAAGCAGCTGGGACTACAGCTAGTGACTGCACCCAGTCTAACTTTTAAATTTTTAAATACTTCCTCATTCCAGTTTGATTTATTTTGGAACCTACCAAGAAGCTTTTAAGCCCTGGGTCTGAATATCTCCTATTTTTGCTTAACTGGATATTCTTGGACTTCCTGTTCTGTAGCAAGCTGAGGGCTATTATTAAGATGAAAAAGAGCTAATTAAAATATAGCTTGTAGGCTGGCAAGATGACTCAGAGGGTAAAAGTACTTGCCCACAAGCCTGACAACCTGAGTTTGATTCCCAGAGCCCGCTGTGAAAAGAGAGAACTGACTCCCAAAGGTTTTCTTCAGACCTCTACATGTGTGCATGGCAGGTGGTAAACACAAACACACACACACACACACACACACACACACACACACACACGCACACACACATACACACACACAAATAAAAAAGATAAATTTTTAAATGTAGGCCATGTGGAATAACTCAATAAATAGCTATAGGCTACAAGTGTCTTTACATTTCAATTTCATTTGTTCACTTGAGTAGATAATCATACTTAGATATATAAGATACAGAGGGGTTATTATTTATCATTGGTTGTTCATTTAAATGATAATTATAACTTATATAAAAGAGTTACTAGCTGGGTGTGGTAGTACATCCCTTTAGTCCCAGCACTTGGGAGGCAGAGACAGGAGGATCTTTGTGAGTTCGAAGCCAGCCTGGTCTACATAGTGAGTTCCAGGCCAGCTGGGGCTACAGGGAGACCCTGTCTCAAAAAAGATTTAAAAAAAAGTTACCACCAGTCGATGCTAAATATTTTGCTTGTTTTGTTTTCTGTTGAGACAAGATGCACTACTACAGCCCAGGTTGGCCTACAAGTTAAATCATCCCTTCCTCAGGCTCCTGCATGTTGTAGGCATGCACTAAGCATTGTAATTCCTGGCCAAAATAGTTATAATAGTTCTAAAAGAAAAGCAAGAGTTACCACCAGTCAGTGCTAAGCATCTAAGAGGAAATGACCTTGCTAAAAGCTACTTTGTCAGCCATCAGTAGAAGCCTAAAGCTGGAAGGGGCAGTGGAAGCCTTTCTTTGAAATGTCATATCAGAGATGGAGGAGATTTCTACCTGTTCAGTCAACCAGGAGACAAAAATGAAGGAAATCGTGTAAGAAGTTGCAGTAAAGCAAAGAAAGGAAACAAGTTAATGTTAGCTAAGTTATCCTGGCAGTAGAATTTAGTGATAACTCACAACAAACGTTCCTGTGACTGTCTCGAGACTGTATAGTACTTGATCTTCTCTCAGACGCCCGACTGTACACAGAAGACAGGCTCAGGAATTAAAGCATGTAAAAAGAAAAAAATTACCTAATGGCCTTCTGAAACTTTACCTATGGGAATAAAGAGGCAATTTACCCTTTTCAATTAGAACAGACTTGTTTTGTTTGTTTTTCTTTCTCCCAAGTAAGGCTTTGATTTACCTAGCTTTTTATTGGTGGAGGAAAGTGGAACGTTCTCCATTCCCAGATTTGAAACCTGTGGTCCTGTGGTGGCTCTTGAGAGAGATCTGGTAGCATTCCTGGATTGCTGAATGTTATGAATAGAGTATGTAGTCAAAGACTTGGGCTCCAAGTCAGACATGCCATTCTCCAGCACAGATCCTGTTTAAGAAAGAGAACAGTGTTTTAGAGCACAACATGGAGGTTTGCTGGGTGAACAGTCTTCAGTACATAAACAGGCAAAAGTATTTTAGATAAGGCCATGACTATTAAAAAGATTGCTAGCTTCCATAAGACATAATGAAGAAAAGTTTAAAAGAACTTGAAAACTGTAAAGCATTTTTAAAAAAACAGGTAGCATTAGAAAATGAGAAAAGGGGCTGGAGAGATGGCTCAGAGGTTAAGAGCACTTGCTGCTCTTCTAGAGGACGTGGGTTCAGTTCCTAGCATCAATAAGGTGGTTAACACCCATCCTTAATTCCAGTTCTAGGGGATTCAAAGCCTTGTTCTGGCCACACCAGGCACACACATGGTACACTTACACACATGCTGGTAAAACATACATTAAAAATTTAGAAAATAAATAAAACCTTTAGAAAAGAAAGAAAAATGCCAGCACAATAAAATAAAATGGAAGCCATTAGTACCTTTGCTTTGATTCATCAACGGTCAAGTAAAACTTTTTTTCTCTGTATTTTTTTTAATTTAAATTTTCTTTTCTTTTTTTTTTTTTGGTCTTTTTGAGACAGGGTCTCCCTGTAGTCCCAGCTGTCCTGGAACTCACTATGTAGACCAGGCTGGCCTTGAACTCCCAGAGATCCACCTGCCTCTGCCTCCCAAGTGCTGAGATTAAATTAAAGGCGTGTGCCACCATGCTGGGCAATTTTTTAAAATATTTACAAAAACTTTATTGAGAATTTCATACATGCATATAAGGTACTTTGATCAAATCTATGCCCATTCCCTCCCCTCCAACATTCCACCCTCTGAAAAGGTAACCCTAAAATCTTTTAAGGATTACATACAAGCTCCCAAATAACTTTGGCATTTTTTGCCTTTGGAACAGAGTATGTTGCTAACAAGCCCAAGGACATTTTGACTTTTTTATTTTTGGTCTTTTTGAGACAGGGTCTCTCTGTAGCCCCAGTTGTCCTGGAACTCACCATGTAGACCAGGCCGGCCTTGAAGTCACAGAGATCTGCCTGCCTCTGCCTTCCAAGTGCTGGGATTAAAGGCGTGCGCCACCACACCCGGCAGGACATTTTGACTTTTAGCCAGGAAACTGGCTACAGTTCTTTGGGGTCTTTTTACCCTAACTGCCTAGCCAATTCCTACCTCCTATTCTTATCACACCATCCTCTGAAGGGATTACACAAATTGT